CGGTGTGTTGGTTGGGACTTAGTAAGTAAGGTTTAGGGTTTAGGGAACCCTACTTAAAGGATCATGGGACTTAGTAAGTAGGGTTATAATTAGGGTAACTAACTATACTTATAACCCCATAGTAAGTAAAGGTTCCTTAATTAAAGGGCTCCTTAAAGGCATCCATAAGGGTTTATTAGGGAGGATTAGGGTTTGGGGGTGTAGGATTTTAGGGTTTGGGGTTTAGGGTTCAGGGGTCAAGGGTTTAGGGGTTTAGGGTTTGGGGTTTGGGTTTAGGGTTTAGGGGTTAAGGATTTTGGGGTTTGGGTTTAGGGAAACTCCCGACTTGGAGGTTCATGCGTAGTTATAAGTGGGGTTATGAGTAGGGTAACTATAAGTATAACAGCCCATCACTATTTTCAAGAAAAGACAAATTTATGGGTTCCTTTTATATTAGTATAATGGAGCCCCAAACTCTGTTCTAATTGTTAGGACCATATCTTGGACTTAGAGTCTGAATACCCTAGCCCAAACAAGGCGAACCTGTTGAATTAGAGTAGGAATTGGGTTTGGGGTTTAGGGAGTAGGGTTTAGGGTTTAGGGTTTCGGGCTTAGGGTTTGGGGATTAGGGTTTAGGGTTTAGGAATTTATCAGCCCCAACAAAATAAAGGTTACCTACTGAGCCCCTTAGCAGACTTCCCAAGTTGAGGGTGTTGGCCCCAAGCCGAACCGAAAATCCTGAAACCTGAACCCCAACACATCCCTAAAAACTAAACCCCAAACCCTAAACATCCCTAGTCACTGCACCCCAAGCCCTGAACATCCTTGAACGCTAAAACCCGAAACCCTAAACAGCCTAAACACTAAACAAACCTAAACCCTAAACCCTAAACCCTAAACCCTAAACCCTAAACCGTATCTGCTCTTACGAGACCAAGTGGCGGCATGCTGACGGCAGAAGCGAGCGCGACGCAGTGACCAAAGCAAAGAGAGAAGCAAGCTCGATCCAAATGCTGTCGGTTGAGGGTTTAGGGTTTAGGGTTCAGGGTTCAGGGGGGGTTCAGAGTTTAGGGTTGATAGTGGTGTTTAACAATCGGAGTTTTGGAACTCAAGGCTTATACGACTTAGGATGCAGTCACGGCGCAGATGCGGTTCAGGAAACCTAAGTACCTACTTTCTCGTAGGGTGCCGGGGCCCCACAACCAGAGCAGGTGACCGAAATCCTAGATGTACCCTTCATAAATGCGCTATGCCGTAGACTTCGAAAACACAAGACAAGTCGCGAAGGCCTCCGAACCCTGAACCTTGCAGGCTCGATATAAGGGCTTGAACAGTTCGAATAGATGTTTGGTATATACATATATACACAAATGTAATATATATATATATATATATACGCAGATGAACCCTAAGGACTAGTGTGGAAAAGTATTTCCAATTTATTAATTCTTGTTCAAGCTTCTAGATAGGGTCGTCACTTTGAAGCCCGTAGCCCGATACGGTTCAGGGTTTTATTAAAGGTGTCATACGGGTGTCCTAAAGTTGTATCAAGATTCTGGTTGGGGTTTAGGGTTTAGGGTTTAGGAACGCGCACATCTATGCAGGCCTTCAAATCCATGTTGAGGGTTTAGGGCTCACTAGCTACCTCGCCCGAGGTGCTCTTATCCATACCTGGTTAGTACAGTAGACAGCTGCTCGGTTCTGGCCTAGGGAGCATAGTAGGTATAGTAGATAGTTGGTGGATCTACGTACGGAGCCCTAAACCCTAAACCCCTAAACTCTTAACCCTGTAGGGCTTAGCGTCATTGGTACACAGCCGCCGCCTTCGCCACATCCACCAGAGTCGCACCCACTGGGGCTTCCACAGACAGGCGCCTGTGGCATACGAGTTGGATGCGGCCCCCACTCGGTAGCAGTTGAATGCCATGCGCAACACAGCCGTATAAGGCTCTCTCAATAGTAGCCCTATCCTAGACTGTTATAGACCCTAAACTTGTAACCCTTAACCTTCCCTAAGGGTCCATGTACCCCAATAGTAGATACTTGGGCCTTAAAGTAGTCCCTATGTAGGTACTTTGGGTCCAATGTATATCCCGTGTGAGTACATGGACCCTTAGGGCTTGAAGACAATGCTTACCCTACGAGCTTGTTTGGGGTTTGGGGTTTAGGGTTTAGGGTTTAGGGTTTAGGGTTTAGGGTTTAGGGTTTAGGGTTTGGGGTTTGGGGTTTTGGGGGTTTGGGGGCTCAAGGCCATTCAGCTGGAGGCTTCCGGGGCTGTTGGGGGCTTCGGGGTTCAGTGCATCGGCTTCAGGACCTTCAGGGAGTTCTGTATGGCGCTGTGGGGATATATATATATATATACATACGTACATACATACATACATATTATATATATATACACTTTTCATCGTTATTATTTTTATTACTATTATGATTATTATACATATATATATAGAGAGAGAGAGAGAGATCTCGTTTCGGGTATGCTGCTGAGCAGGATCCGTTCGCTATGATTTCGACTATAGCCTGGCGCTGATCGGTGATCTTCGAGGGGTGGACCTCATGACCGCACGCATGCGCTGCAAGTCTGCGGATGAGGATTCATGGATGAGGCTTCAGACTAAAAGGTTCAGTTAAGCAACCTTGCATAACATAGACAGTCTATAATTTCCTAAACCCTAAGTAACAACCCCGCAGCCCTCAACCCTGAACAAAAACCGCACCAAGCCAACATTGAACCCTGTCCTAAACCCTAGGAGCCCGAACCCTTTGAAAACTGTTGGAGCCCATTTGCTGCCGAAACATTAACACGAACCAGACACATAAGTACCCCAGCAACCTTATAGATCTCTTATAGAACCCTCAAGAGAAGTGTTCAACGACAGTTTGTCCTTTAGGGTTGGAGGTTCGACACCCTATAACACTGTGATAGAATCCCGAGCCCTAAGCCCCGCCAACATCCGAAACCAACACCATCATAAAGCTTCCTATAATTAGGGTTTAGGGTTTAGGGTATACGTGTCTTCTTTTTCTCTCAGGGCACCAGATGGCGCTCACATTCCCGAGCAGGATAGGTGAAACCGCTGCTGACATCACCAGGCAGCTCCTGCGCCGGTTGAATTGAGGCTTTCGTATTCCTACTATACTGCTATGGCTACGAATATGGTTATGACCCTAAACCCTACACCTAGTTATGACTATGATTACAACTGTTGACACCTTCTTCAATTCGTGTTTATCGGTCTTTTGCATCATCAGGTCAGCGAGGTGTTCATAGGATTTCGTGGGGTCATACAAGGAAAAATACGGGCTTTCGAAGCCTCTACAAGGGCTTAAGGGTCTAATCTGGGCTTCACGTCATCAGGATGATGTCTCTTAGGGTTTGGGGGCGACGGGGTCGGGATAAGGATGTAGGATGCTTTTGTTGTCGGGCGGTCCGGGTTTAGGCGCGGCCCAGTCTGGTGTCTGAGCTGTACCAAAACCTCCAAGATACCCTGAATCCTAAACCTTAATTTATGCCCCAAGAAGCCAGGGAAATAGAAGGTTAAACTTTCAGGTTACTACTTAAGTATAAGAATCCAAAAAGTTTAACGGTTGGGTATTGGAGAACTCAGTAAGCCAAATCCTAAACGCTAAACCCCACACCTCTTCTGGTCCACAAAACTAATGCCTCTTCAAGCTGTAAAAGGCCTCAATGGAAAGTTTTTCCGAGGTCTGGGTGGGGATTTCTAGCCTCGGGGTTGGCGAAAGGGTTTGAGAGTTTAGAGTTTAGGGTTGAGGTTGAGTTAGGGTTTAGGGTTTACGGTTAGGGTTCAGGGTTGAGGGTTTAGAGCCTAGTAGGGTTTGCGGTTCTGAAGTACCTTTCCTAGGGCACCAAAATGCGCAACCCCCAAACCCTGAACTAGCTTCGGGTTTAGGGTTTAGGGCCCTAAACCCTAAACCCTAAACCCCTAGACCCTAAACCCTAAACCCAAAATCCAAAACCCTAAACCCGAAACCCTAAACCCTGAGGGCTTCGGGGAATTGACCCTCTGGACCCCACCAATGAAAATTGCTAGCATAGGGGCCCTGAAAGGCTGACATACTTAGAGGATCAAGGGACTTAGTAAGTAAGGGTTCCTTAATGAAAAGGGCTCCTTAAAGGGATCCATAAGGGTTTATAAGGGAGGGTCATGGGACTTAGTAAGTAAGGGTATAAGTCCCTTAATTGGGGTTATAAGTATAGTTGCCCTAATTATAACCCTACTTGCTACGTCCCATGATCCTTTAATTAGGGTTTTGGAAGATGTTGTCTACAACCTATAAGGTCCATGGTACTTCTGTAGTATATTTTGGGGGATCAAAGTAGTCCCTACATGCGTACTTTAGGACGAGAGTGTATACAATTTGGGCACATGGACTCTTGGGGTATATTTTTACTCGTGGACGGACGATTCCGACAACTACATTGCACCCGTAGGGTAGCAATTCTTGGCTTTCATGGCCTTGGGAGTTGCGGAATTTTGCGTCTTGGGGGCTTTGCCTCTTTCGGACTCGGAGATTATCGGTCCTGAGCTGTGGGCTTCACCAACGATATGCAGCATTTTGGACAACCTCAAAGACCACACGACCCTCAGAAGTCAGGGCCCCATGCCCCTATAATACTGTGAATCCCTATGTCGTGTTTGAAGCTGAAAACACCTTAAACCCTTTGGGGCTCAATGCGTCCTTAAGGGTGTCAAGCCTAAAATTTAAACGCTGAACCCTGAACACTAAACCCTCCTGGCGAGAAGGCACTGAACAAGAGTCGAGGATGAAGGTGGGGTGGACCCTTTAGACTGCAAGACTTGTAGTGAATCCCAGAAAGTTGGAGCATGGGTTTAGGATGATTAGCGCTGGGATCCCTATACTTTCATTTAATTAATGTTAATTTATGGGCGTGAGGATAATGGTATTCCAACTTTCTGGCTTCTACTGTAGACCCTGTATGCTAGAGTGTATGCCCTGAATGCATTAGTCAGAGCCAGTGCGCTCTGCATCTTTTATTGATCTCGCTGCCACGTTCGGAGAAGCTGCGCTATGTCCACATGGCCCTCCTTTTCAGCGACCTCCGCTGGGGAGGCGAACACTTCTTCATCCTGGGTGTCGGAGAAACCAAAGGAGATTAGAGCAAAGTAAAACATGTCATTTGACGATAGGGAACACTCCGTAATGAGTCCTGGAGGTACGGGTAGGCAAGGCCAGAAAATCAAACCATATCTAACCATCATCTCCGAGTAGTTGACAAGTATACACTTTGGTCCAAAGTGTCCTAAACAGGATGTCCTTCGTGGACAGAGCATGAAGCAGCTGGAGCTTAAGGTACAAGAAGACACAGACTAAACTCAAAAGCCAAAATAGCAAACCCGATCCTAGAACCCAGAACCCTAGGCCCTAAGCCCCCTTATAGTTGCCGCTGAAGGTACCCTGAAACCTCAAGGTGACCCCCCAATTCTCATTAGACCCCACAGGAAGTCTTGAAGGAACCCCTAGAAGGAACCCCTGACGATTGCCGTTTACAAAGGGGAATCGATCTTGAACCCTATAGTGCCCTTAGAGAGGACCCCGTTCTTGCACCCTACACTACCCTCGAGGGCTTAGGTTAATATAGGGGGCCCTAATAATTACAATAGGGTTTTGGTGCTATATTACAGTATAACTCGAATAAGGAACCCCCAAAAGAATGTAGCTAATTACTCAGGCCCCTATCTTATCCATAGGACCCTAAACCCTAGACCCTAAAATCCTACAGCCCTAAACCCTAAAACCCTAAACCCTAAACCCGAAAATCCTAAAGCCTTATAAACCCTAAAACCCTAAACCCTAAACCCTAAACCCTTAAACCCTAAAACCTAAAATCCTAAAGCCTAAACCCTAAAACCCTAAAACCCTAAACCCTAAAACCTAAAACCCTAAAACCCTAAAACCCTAAAACCCTAAAACCCTAAACCCTAAGGTTATCCCAGCATCCTCCCGGTCTCGATCAGCACCCGCCAGCACCAGCAGTTGCACAACGCTTAGGTGGCCCTCTCGGGCCTGGGAGTGGTTGTTTTTTTGGGTTTTTAAGGGTTTAGGGTTTAGGGTTTAGGGTTTAGGGTCTAGGGTTTAGGGTCTAGGGTTTAAGGGGCTGAGGGTTTAGGGTCCCATGCTGGGCCGAATTGAGATTTCAGGGTTTGCGGGCTTAGGGTTTAAGGGTTCGCATTAGACCGGATCAAGGTTTCGGGGTTTGGGGTTTAAAGGTTTACGGTAGAAAAATGACATAAAAATTGCGTCCAAATTAAGGTTCCGGGGTTGGGGGCTTCGGGACTAGGGCTTAAGGGTTCGGGTTGAAGCTCTACCTGTAACCGAAAAGACCTACTTCTTTTACGGTTCCTTATTATGGTTTCTATATTTAGGGCTGAGGGACCGGGGCTCAGTGCTGCCACCAACCAAGATCTCAACGGCAGAAATCAGAACTGCGGTTGATGATATAAATCCTGCATTACCTAAATCTTTTTGCGGGTGATGCAGGACTTTTTTATCACCAACCGTAATAAGCAGAATTCTTCAAAAAAACAGCAACCCGCGATTCACACGTGTCGCACTTCATGCGGGTTCGCCCGTAGAGCCAAACTTACCACTAATTCCCTAAAACACTAAAGTGATATAGGCGCCTTCATAGTTAGTATAGCTTTTTGGGGGATCCTATACAAAAAGGATATACAACTATAATAAGGAACCCCCAAACTAGTATTGGAAATTAGTTGGGCCCTATATTAAACACTGAACTCCAACATCTAAGTTCTAAACCATCAACCCCAAACCCCAAATCCCTGTCAACACTCAGAACCCTAAACCCCAAATCCCTGTCAACGCTAAGGTATGGCCCAAGGGCAGCAATCCAAAGAGGGCTTTGGCCGCAGAAGTTCGCTCGATCTCTGTCGGCGCCAGCAAAGAGCAACAGGTTGGCAATCGAAAACCCGCCATTCTGTGCCGCAAACCACCTGAGGATGCTGGGTTTAGGGTTTAGAGTTTAGGTCTTTTAGAGCTTAGGGCTTAGAGAATAGGGTTTAGAGTTTAGAGTTTAAAGTTTTGCGTTTAGAGTTTAGGGTTTAGGGGTTCAGTATTTAGGGTTTAGTTTAGATAGGGCTTAGGCCCTAAACCCTAAACCCTAAACCCTAAACCCTAAACCCTAAACTTTCAGTTAGAGGAGACTGAAAGTCTTGGGGCCTTGTCCTCGGGCTCCCGGTAGAGGGAACTAGTGTAGAGACCTTAATAAGTAGAGTAGGGAGATGAGGGGGCTTAACCAGATCAAAAGTAGCGCTTGAACTGAAAGCGGACAGAGGGTTTAGGGTTTAGGGTTTAGGGTTTAGGGTTTAGGGTTCCTTTAAAAGGGTTCCTTAGAAAGGATTCTATAAGGGTTATACTGTAAACGTTTAGTCTAGGGCCTGAATAATTAGAATGCGGCTTTTGGGGTATATCATACTATATAGCTATGAAAGGAAACCCAAAAATAGTATAGCGAATTATCATTCAGGCCGCTATATTAGAATTCATGGATCTGTTTTCTTTTCTCCTTTACTATGTACAGGATTTAGGGGTTTTGGGCTTGACATTGGGACTTTGATTCATTGAAAATGAGGACAGGGTTTTGGGTTCGGGGTGTTCTTAGGTTTAGGGTTTAGGGGTACTCCTACCCAAAAAAGAACGAAAACAGAACAACGCAATCAAGAAAGACCAACCCCGACATAAGTTCAACGCACAGCTTTGAAGCTTTAACCGGTTGGTCCAAAAGTCGCGTTGAACTTGTACTTCCCGAAGGGTCCATGTGCCCAAGTAGTATATACTTTGGCCTTGTGAAGTACCTAAGCAGGGCCTACTTTAAGGCCCAAGTATATAGTATATACTATATGGATACATGGACCCTCAAACCCTAAACCCCAAACCCTAACTCTGCATAACCGGGCCACAGAGGGGTGTTACCCGAAGTGTCTGCCTCGTTGACATCCACCGCCTCCTGCAAAGAGAGCTGCGGAAGCAGCAGGAACTTCACGAAGTCCCACTGTTGCCTCATGCTTTGAAAGGGGTCCATCAGGGTTCTGTAAGGGATCTACGAGGCTCTAGAACTCTAGGGGTTTAGGATGAAGTCCCACTGCTGCCTCAGGCTTTGGGGTTCAGGGTTTAGAGTAAAGGGTTTGGGGTTTAGCAACCCTACATGCCCGTGTCTAAACCACAAACATCCGCAAACCCCAAGTCCCGAACCCGGAATCCTAAAGCAAGGCCCAAACATCTGGCAATACAAGACAAACAAATCTCAGCAGGACATTACTGGTGTACGGAGTACGGCATGTAAGTATACATGCAAACATGCCTGGAGGCAGATAGATCGCTAGTTCGACAGATAGATAGATTGATAGACCAACAGATAGGTAGGTAGGTAGGTAGGTAGGTAGGTAGGTAGGTAGGTAGGTAGGTAGGTAGGTAGGTAGGTAGACAGACGGATAGATAGAGAGATAGATAGATAAATAGACAGATCGACAGCCAGACAGATGGATAGGTAGAGCTCAGAACCATACTACTGAACCAGCAACACTCCCGCCTGATGTGACCCTTGACCCTACATAATAAGCTGGCACACCTCAAGGCAGCCGGAGAATCCGGCAACCTGTCATAAGACGTTGAGTTGTCCGAAATGTGCCGTCAGGGAAGTCCTTAACAAAGGAGTTGAGGAACCACCAAGAATCCTTAACAAACCCTAAACCCTAAACCCTAAACCCTAAACAAAAGGGTTTAGGAACCTCCGGGTAGCCCCAAGATGCCTCTCACACGCCACGGCCAAGGGCGACTGGCCGCTGGAATTTGCCGCCTGCTGTGCTCTCTTGAAATCTTTTGATGCGATTCAACACTACTTAAAGGATCATGGGATTTAGTATGTAGGGTTATATTTAGGGTAACTATACTTAGAACCCCAATTAGGGGACTTATAACCTTACTTAGTAAGTCCCTTGATCCTCCAAGTAGGCACCCCTCTAGTCCATAGCCTAAGCCCGGAAACGCTAAACCCTAAACCTCATATACTCTAAACCCCAAACCCTATGGCAAGGCCTCATGGCTGGCCGTGTAGTTCCCTTCACGGATCTCAGAAAAAAGAAGAGCACAACTTGCGCGGCAAATTATTGCAACGTTGCTAATCTGAATCCAGGGCCCGACGGAACACACAATCAACACTTGGGGCGAAAGCGTGGATACATCTTATGGAAAGCTAAGGGACACCAGTCCTATGATTAATGTTTTAGGCCCAAATAACGCCCTACAAAGCTCTTAAGAAACCCTTACGGAGTAACATGTTTCACCATAAATACCTGAAACAAAACCTAAAGCTATAGACCCTACCCACCCTAAACCCTAAACCCTGAACCCTAAACCCTAAATTTAAACCCTAAAGCCAAAACCTAAACCCTAAACCCGAAGCCCCGAGCCCTAGACCCTAAACCCCAAAGCCCTAATAGGGCCCCCTATGCTGCGCACCTTCCTTGGGTCGGCACCCAGCAGGATCAGTAGCTCAGCGATCCGAACTCGACCTTTTGGCATGCCAGGGTTCCCTTGAAGGGCTCCTTTTGTAGGATTTAGGGTTTAGGATTTAGGGTTTAGGATTTAGGGTTTAGGGTTTAGGATTTAGGGTTTAAGATTTTGGCTTTCTTTATAGTAAGGGCACCACATAAGGGATCTACAAAGGTTCTACAGCATATGCTACACGGGCACGTGGAGCCTTAGGGTTACAGGGGATCTGTGCTGCTTCTATGAAGAACCCTAAGGGTCCAACTACCCATTATTTAAGGACTTTGGCGCCTTTTTTGGTACCTAAAACCATAAATAAGGACTACTTGGACCCTTTGGGGAATCTTAGAGCAGCTTGCTCACGGAGGTTGGGGGGTTTAGGGCTTAGTGGTGAGGTGTAGGGTTTAGGGTTGTAATGTAAAAACCACCTAACTAAACCCTGAACCCTAAATCTTAAATCCTACATCCCAAACCCTAAACCCTACATCCTAAACCCTAAACCCTAAATCCTAAATCCTTAACCCTAAACCCCAAGTCCCAAACTTTAAGACCCTAATGCCCTGCTATCAGGGCCCCTCGTTTGCGTGAACTCCGGCCATGATTTGCGGCGCACCACAGGGCAGTGCGGCCGAAATCATCGGCAAGAAGAATATCAGCATCGGCTTTGATCAGCCTGGGTTCAGGGTTTTAGGGCTTTAAGGGTTTAGGGTTTACGGCTTAGAGCTATATCAGCATCAGCTTCGATCAACCTGGGTTTAGGGTTTTAGGGGTGGCGGGTTAGATCAGCTTTAATCAACCTGAATTCAGGCTTTGGGTTTTAGGGGTTTACGGTCTAGATCAGCTTTGATCAACCCGGGCTCTGGTTTAGGGTTTAGGGTTTAGGGTTGTGAGGGGATTCAATGTATCAGCATCAGCTTTGATCAACCTGGGTTCTTGTTTAGGGTTTAGGGTTTAGGATTTATGGCTTAGGGTTGCTACGGGATTCAATGTAAGTTACCGAAATATGGAAACCATATTAGATTTACTATAGATCCCTATCAGGGTAACTTAAACTAAGTCGAGCAACAGCTGTATCATGTCCCAGTCCCCGTGGTATGTCACAGCCGCACACAGCGGCGTGCACTTGAACCTTGGTTCTCCTTCAGGACGGTTCAAGCTACCATGATCTTACAAAACCAAAGGGTCTAGGGTTTAGGGTATAGGGGGGGGGTTAGGATATAGGGTTTAGGGTTTCCTTAAACATGATGTGCACAAGATCTCCGAGCTATAAATTCTAAACTGTGCTAAACAAGTGCCGGGAAAATATCGTTCACAATATCTCCGAACTATAAACTCCAAAATGTTCCAAACAAGTGCCGAAAACGGATCGTTCACAGTATCTCCGAACTATAAACAGTTCTAAACAAGTGCCGGAAACGGATCGTTCACAATATCTCTGGACTACAAGTTCAAAAATGTCCTAAACAAGTTCCGGAAACGGATCGCCGGCATTCACGTTGGCTCTTGCCTCCAGCAAAAGTCCAGCTGTTTCTAGAAGGCATCGGGAGGCCGCTAGCCACAGAAGCGGTGGATCGTTGAAGGCAGTAACGCAGTCCTGAGCTGCTCATTGAGGGCTCTATTAATTCGGGTTTCGGGTTTAGTGTCTTAGATTTAGGGGTTTTAGGGTTTGGGGTTTTAGGGTTTCGGGTTGTAGGTTTTAGGGTTTCAGGGTTTGGGGTTTAGGGTTTGATTGAGCTTTGTGTTAGATTCTCCTTGTCTTTTCTCGAGCCTGCTGTGCCACAACCCAAAGCAAAAGCGCTGCTGCTGCTTGCATCTTCTCATGTACGCCTTTGAACTATCCGATACTTCTGCCGCCTTCTACCTAGAGCTTCTGGTCGAACACGGCCTAGTATCAATGTTGGGATCCGCTGGCATGAGCAGTAGCTCTTGCACTTCGTCATTTCTGCCTGCGGTGCTTCTGGCGCTGAGGCTGGGACCCTACCCTAAACCCTAAACCCTAAACCCCTAAACCCCTAAAGGCCTAGACGCCTAGACGCCTACACCCTAAACCCTAAACCGAAGACCCTAAGAGTCTAACTACCAATGCATACATTATAGTAGGTGCGTTCATTAAGAGAAGGCGGGACACATAAGTACTATGTTGGTGCTGCGATGCTTTGGGAAGACTAAGTCGCCATGAGGAAACCGAGGAAGCTTCGAAGCTCTTAAACTAGGAGTTAGGATTAAGGGGACCCTTGACGATATAGACCCTCTCAATAAGGTCCCTTTTAAGAGAGCCAAAAGTAGGGTTAAGAAGTTTCCCCTTTCAGGGGTCTCCCTAATACTACCCAGGACAATCTTCGGCTTCACCCTGAGCCTTCTTGAACGGCGTCGGCAAAGTGCAGGCTCTGATCTTGTGTCAACTCCACGAAATCCTTGTGCAGGGTTTGGGGTTTAGGCGTTTAGGGTTTAGGGTTGCGGGTTTAGGGCTTAGGGGCTTCTGGTTTATGGTTTAGGGTTGGTTCTTGCAGGGTTTGATATTCCTGTTTCAAAGGTTTGTTTATGTTCTTGTTGGAAAGTTTTGGGTTGTTCTCTAAATTGGGGGTCCCTTTCAGGGTCCATTCTACAAGTGTGCGCTACTATTTGGGGGCCCGAAACAGATACTCTCATTTAGAGAACTACCCATGTGTTTCTGAGGCTTCGTGTTTACTGCTTCGTGCTGCGAAGTTGCCGATCATTGAAGGTGATAAGATAGAGTTGAGTTGAGGTGTAAGGTTCCCGGAGCTGCAAACTGGAGTAACAAAAGTCTTTTGCAGGTTTTACCAGTGCGTCGTCTCCCTAGATCTAAGGTTGAACCCATGGGCCCCTAATATGGGCCCTTAGGGGATTCTAGGGTCCCTTAAGGGTATATATAGGGTATATAGTAGGTATATTGGGGTCCCAGGCTTAAGGGCCCATACCAGGGGCCATGGGTTCTACCTTAGACTACAAGCACACACCAGTCGACACTAGCATCCGAATCCCCGGAGAATGGCGCGATTTCCAGACTGTACCACCAGGCTCCCCGTCGAGGACCCTATAAACCCTACCCTAAGGGTCCAAGTGCCTAATAATCATATACTCTCCCAAACTTTAACCTAGATAACCACTATGCGCAACCAAGCTGCCTTATTATTGGGTCCTTTGGACCCTTAGGAGTAAATCCAAGACCCTACAAGCCCTCAATAGAGCTAAACTCGGCCCGACACACGATACTGGAAAGCCCCCTCCATGGAGCCAAACTAGGTCTGCATGTAGTAATCCCCCCCCCCCCCCCCACCCCTCAATAGTCGTAAATTCCCGTCACGCCCTTTTTTGTTTAGGGAAATAGACACTGCTACTACAAACTGATGCCCTGGAAGAGGAGGCACAGAGAGGAGAGATAGCGCCCAGAAGAGTCCCAACCCAAGGAAGAAGAGCCGCTACTAATTACTGTACTACTAAACTACCCTACTACTACTGTAGAAAAACTGCACTATTACTGTATTCCTACTGTACTAGTACAGTACTAATTACTTTACTACTACTGTACTATTACTGTACTTCTGTACTACTACTGTACTACTACTGTACTACTACTGTACTATTACTGTACTACCGTACTGCTGTACTACCACTGCACTACTACTGTACTACCACTATACTAC